AAACCTGTGGCAGCCACTGTTTACTGTGTCAAATACAGTGTAAGGCTGCCGGTGGTGAGATTCTCGCCGGGAAGCGCAATAGAGAAAACGCATGGCTCAGTTTGCGAACGCTGTCAGTTGCTCACGCGCGCACGAATGCACGCACGTCTATCGCGGGAGATGTTGGTCTGCCAGCAAGTTGCTTGTGAGGAAGACCTCAGAGGATAGACCGGATTTACAGACTCTGCTGAGGCTGCAAGTGCCAACAGCACGTTCAAACTGAAACTCGCTGGCCAAACCTCGGGAGAAGCGGAGAAGACTTCAAGAGAGGAAGCAAAGCTTCGGACCCATCCGTAGAAGCTGCAGGAGAAGGAAAGTGGCTCAAGACTGCCTTCCTATTAGAACAAGTCGAAGAGCGATGATTTCAAGACATACGATGGCGACGTTGTAGTACAGACCGGCATTGTGATCCGACAGCACTCTTTCAGATGATCTTGCCAAGCGCAGCCAAGGTTCTGTCCAATGTTGGCTGCTTCAGATGCCTGTGACTCCCCCAGCTGCGCCAACTTTCGTTGAACGTCGTCCAAGGACTTCTCGAAAGTGGCCTGCACGTGTCAATCACGTCCGAAACAAAGAAGGAACATCCTTCCTCCAACATGGAACCTGGGGTCCCTGCAAGACCACGTTCTTCTTTCAAAACAAATCCTTTGGGTGGGTAAAAACTACGTGAGAGCGACACGGCGCAAGAACGTCGCGATCTGAGTCGTTGGCTTTCTCGCGACCTGCTGCTTCAGAAGCCCGCCGAAGCTCCCGATCCAACTCCTAGAGTTTGGCTTTGGGAGATGACAGGCACCAACTGCTGTCTGCATGACCTGAGTTGTTGGTTGCACAACGCTCTCCCCGAAAAACGGAAAGCCGTTTTCAACAGCAAAGTTTGGCATCAGCGGTGCCAATTGGGCCCGCCCAAACGAAGAGCTCTCAACGGTTTGGCATCAATTTGGCACTTGACGCCCTTGTTGGGAGCCGAAAGCCGCCGGAACCTGAGTCCCGGCCTTGACTTGGGCCTCCAGGCGGCTGATCTTCTCCTCGAAACACCACAGGTGGAATGGGCGGTTTGGGCAGTTGCTCTAAAGGACATGGGGTTAGTACCGGGGGTGTTGAAACATTTGGGGAGTCCCACCTCCCCCTCAAACTCATCATCTGGTTTCCCCCCAAAAAAAATCTGCAAGTCGAGTTGTTTTCTCCGCAAGGACCCATGCATGTGCGGCCCGGAAGGCCTGCGCTCGCCTAAACCCAGACCTCACGAAGTCGGAGTCCTGCAGCTCGTCCCGAAGCGGCCCAAGTGCAGAAGACACGGCGGCGACCTGGACGGGCGAAAACGGTGGGTCTCTGTTTTCGAGTTGGTGGTGAGGGAAAGCTCAAGCAAACCCAAGTTTTGGGGTGGTTTGAACGGGAAACCTCCAGGAAACCCAACCTTGTTGGGGTGGCTTTAAAGGAAAGCCACCATTTTCGGGGGTGCCCTTCTTTAAGATACACCCATATGCGCATGGCTTGTCAAGACAGAATCCACCCACCCGTGCAGTTCAAGGAAAAGAGGGGTGAGGGGGAAGGGGTCAAGAATTCCGCTTGGTTTTCCGTTGTAAGGTGCCCTTCCAAACATACACCCTCTACTTCCCCCTTCGCCCGGCCTTGTGGTGCAAGCTGGCAGACTGTTCTTGGAGGCGCCTATCCAGCTCCTGCAACGCCAGGTAGCTGGACTTCTCTGAAAGCTGCTCCTGGCCGGTTCCGAAGAATCCCTTATTCTTGACCCCACTCTAAAAGCCAGGGGGGGAGGTTTGGCTTTTTCAAGGGAAACCAAACCTTCAGGTCGCAAAATGGAACCCGTGTCAAAACCCGGGTGAGAAAGAAGCCACAACTCCATGGACAATGGGACTGTCCCTCTAGCCGGAGCCCACAAACTGGGTGGCATGAGCCTTCTGATTTGCCTTGAAAACATAGGTGGCCTTTTGGAAAAATAGATGGCGCTGGTAAATGGAATAAACCCCATCTAAACCAGGGCCATCTAGTTTTAACCAAACTAACCTCAAAAGGACACCTATGCTTGAAAACAAACTTAAAAAGGGTAATTGAAAAAGCACGCACCTGTCTACCTCCCGCGTTTCGATGGCTCACGGTTCCGTTCAATCGGATCACGGTTCCCAACTTGGCTCATTCCGCGCTCCTTGATCCCAGCTCTGTCCCTAGCCTCGCTCCAAATGGGCAGAACCCATTCGGAAAAAGCCCGCGGTTCTCCTTTGGATCAACCCCAAGCCCAAAAGCTTCCCCTTGGCTTCCTTTCAAGCAGTCTTAAACACGGTACCCTCAACAAGCAAACCTACCAAAGCCAAACAGGGTACCTCCCCCCAACAAACAAATGTGGCAAAAACAAAACAAAAAGCGTGCCTCACGCTGCCAAGTCGCCCCAGCTTGAAGCTCCTCCTGCAGATGCTGGCATGCTGCTTGCAGCGCTTGCAGCGCCTCCTTCTGCTCCCTCTGTGCCTCCTCGGAAGTTGCATCCGGGAATGTGTCTCGATATGGGTGCTTGTGCTTTTTGAAGGGTGTTACTCTGTTCAGCTTGGTTGAAAGGGCGGCAAAAAAGGAAAACCTATTTTTTGGGGGGGGAGGTCTCTCTTTGACACATACCCGCAGGGCGGTTTCTGAAAATTATGGACCTTTGAAATGGCTTGCATCCGATTGGTTTCCGTGCAAAACCATCTAGAAGGCGTCCGACATCTTGAGAGACCGCTCTACGGTTGCCGGTGGAAACTCTCAAAATCGGGTATCTCCCTCTGTAAGGGCCGGCTTCCTGGTGGCGCTCCTCGGAAAACCAACCCAAAAGGCTGCCCACGACAAGTGCGGACTTCAAGAATCACCGAACCTTGAAGTGCACTTCTTGTCGATGCAGAGCAATACCAAGCTGCTCCTTGACATGTGCATGCCAACAAATGCGAACTATCCTGGCAGTCTCAAAGACACAGATTGGGACATGTTGCCTTTAGCCCCAAGAATCATGTGGGGCACTTTCAAAGGGGAAATGGTCCCCCCATGCAACGTGTTTTTGAAGGCTATCTGTTTCCTGTGACTCGTTGGCCCCTTTGTTCCACAAAATTTTAACCCGTCGCCGGCCTTCGACTGGGCTTGCACGGCCTGGAGTTCCTGGATCTGCCTGGCTTGGCGCTCGCACCAACCCCGGACTCGAGTCCTGAGAGGACATAGGAAAACTTGGCCATGGGGCAAAAATAGGTACCCAAAACTGAAGCCAAGGAGTGAAACCTGCGGTCCCCTGTGGTTTAATTTTGACCCATGCCCACTTGGGTGTCTTATCCCCCGATGTTCTCCTCCGAAATTTCGGTGCACCCCCTTGTCCTGGATCCCCTGACCTGCCCAAACCAATCGACAACCAGAAAACTTGTCAGTTGCTGAGCCGTACCACTGGAATATCTAACACGGCTGCCTCGCCAGGTCAACTTCGGTTGCGTCCACCCGGTCCAGGCGGTTCTTCAACTGGGCCGTGTTCGATGGCCAAAAAAGTGCATCCGAGCATTTGGGCTGTTCTTAGGGCACCCCCTTCACCTTGGTTCAAAGGGAAACCAAAAGGAAAACCGATGTCTCCACATGCATTCCAGACCCCCTTTTGATTGGGGTTGAAAATCACCCCAAAAGGGGCACTCTGAGAAAATGAAAAAAAAACGTATTGGGGATTTCCCAAAATACGGGTGCCCCTTTACCAACCAATGGGCTCCGAATTTTCAGACACTGGGACGTACCAACGGAACAATGTAGGCGCCACGCCAAGGCAAAGTGCTGGGCGCGCTCTTTGGCCATCGCCTCAATTCGTGCCCATTGCAAACATGCAAAAAAAAAAAAGCTGGGCCATTTTGCCCTATTTTAAGCCACGGCTCAAACCACGAAACTCTTCAAACAAACTTCTTTCGGCTTTCCTTTCAAGGAATCGGACCAGGAAGTTGCTGCTGCAACGAATCTTCGCCAAGCCAAGTCGGTACAACACAACATCGGCTCGTGGAACGGCACCAGCGCCAACCCCGCGCGCGCGTGCGCGCGGCACGACTTCCGGCCTCGAGCTCCCGGGTCTGGCGCTCGGCGGCGGCGGCGGTTTGCTGCTCCAAAGCGCTGAGGCGCGCCGTCAGCATCGAGATCTTTGAGTTCACCTGGCGCACCCCCTGCATGCCTCTGAAATGCGACTGGGCCAACAAGCTAAGATTCCCTTCCAGGATCAGTGGCTTAAAGGGGTTGACCGGCTTATTACCTAAAAGGCGACTTGAGATCGCCTCAAAATGCAACTACTGCGAGGGGTCGCTTCAAGCCAAGGACGAAATTCTAGCAATCATGCTCTGCGCGGCGGCACTTTTTGCTCGATTCGGAAACACTGCATAGGTGCGAAATCTTCACAGGCACCGCAGTGCGAATTTTGACAAATTCCTGTAAGCATGCAGCTAAAAGCGATCACATGCGAGTAGAGAATGTTCTAGACACTGCATCTTCAAACGTTGAACGTATGAATTCCACCCTTCCGCAGAAAGCACGGAGCCATGTGCCGTGCAGCAGCAAGCGGAGGGGATGATCAAAACTCAGCACGTTGCCCGCTACGACCTCAGGGAACAAATATCCCAAAGCGAGCCAAACACGCACTTGACCTCCTAGGCCTCGCAAACCATAAAACCCTTGGCTCATTGTCTGCGCTGTGCTGGTTCCCCAAGCTTGCTGCGTGCTGTGACAGAGCTCCCAAGCCTGCCTGTAGTCTGATTTTGAAGCCGGCAACGTGCCTTGGCACAGTGTGCGCCCTACAGCTGCAATGCTCGTTCCCATGCAGCAGCATACCAGGTCATGTGTGTTTAGTATCCCTCAAAAATGGTTAGTGGACACGAATCTCGATGTGAACGATATCCATCAAAGAGTCCTAAAAGAAAGAAAAAAAATCTGCCTGATTGCAGCTCCGAGGCACTTCTCTTTGGCAGCGATGCTCACTGAAAAAGCGCAGCTCTGCTTAGCAGCAAAGTGGAATTGAAGGCTCCGAGGTTGGGAAACACGGAAGAGCCTTGTGCGCTTTCCAGGCCCATCCACTCAGCAACAGGCAGCATCCTCGGAGCGAAATGGAACCAGACTGTCAAGGCCGCATTCACCTCAGAATTCTCGGCCAAGTATCATGTTCTCCCAGGGGTATTTGGGAATCAGCCGCCCCCTTCCTGCATCCTGGCACACGGCTGGCCAGTGCTTAATTGCTTTGAATTGATCCAAAGGAACGCACCAAACAGGACCCATGTGAGTGAGGACATGATCCCCTTTGGGGGATCCTCCGAGTAGTGGGGGAAACAAAGGTCCTCACAGCATCCATCAACTTGCCAAATTCCTCGCCTGAGAGCTACCCTCCCGGAATGATGTAGGAAAGTCATTGTACACGCGGCCACCTTTGACAGCTCCTCCCAGAACACAAAACAAGACGAGACAAGAGCATGAAGCTGCTCACTTCGGTGGCCTCCGAGCATAAAGTAGTTTCCTGCCCAGCCATGGTCCGTTCCTTCACCACCTGCCGTGATTTCTCACGCGGGTAGGAATGTTAATAGGGGACCCTTTGGTGATGCATGTCCACCTGCCACTTTGAAGGTGGCTCCCCGTTAAAATCATAGCCATATCTCTCCTCCGTTGCACTCAGCCAGCCAATGTTGAGGCCGCGGCTGTTTGGCGTCAACGTGCGGGCGAAGTCTGAGTGAGTTACCAGAGTGGTCGAATCGAAGATCCCCTGTGCCTCATCGAAAACAAAGAAGGCAAAGGCTGGCAATGGGTGTGTCAGAACAGAGGGACCCCCAAAAGTGCTGTTACTACTGTTGGTCTTCCTTTGAAGCAAGGTAACAAAATCGCGTCCTCAACCAAAACACATACCTCAGCATACCTCAACCGCCCCATCACCCTTCGCCTTCATCTCAGCCACGAAGGACGTCAGAGCCAAATTCAACTCCGCGAAGCGATCGTTGAGCTCGGTAGCAACACTAGAGTGCCTCAGCTATTTTGGGCTGCTTCCAGGCGCCAGTTGTGTAATCTACTGTACTACAAGCGGCGTATCCCAGCCACCAATTTCGACCTTGGAACAAAAAAGACTGGCTGTAGAAACGTGCTTAATGGCCTCTTCAACAGTCAGTCTGTCGCTCGCGCGTTTGTTCAGGCATGAGGCAAAGAAAACGTCGCGCTCCGCCTTCCGCTCCACACGAGCAGAAATGAGCCGCGCGACTTGCTTCAGCTGCCTGCAGTTGCGAAGTATTGAAATCCTTCGCTTAGAATTTGCTCGGCTTGCTCTGGCGCACACTGGTTGATATCTTCAAATAGCCGGCATCATGCCAAAATCAAGGCTGGTGTGAGAAGGTTGTCCAAACACATGTGCAACATCATACAATGCCGTTTTCGAATCCATACATTAGAATTTGACTAAGGCTGATCAGCCGAACACATAAGGAGCTCTTTGCTTGTGAAGCCGACCCTGGCCTGGCCAGGTCGATGTCGTTGGTCGGAAACCTCAAAGACAAGCTGGATACATCATCCCTTATGTCATGCGGCAACTTAATTCAAGCAGTGTAGCGCAACTTTTTCGTGCTTGAACCATGTCAATGTGGGTGTGGGGGGGGGGGGGGTTTGGGGGTGTGGAAATAGGGAGACACAAAAATGCTCGGCTTCCTTTTGGCCTCCTTCAAACCAATATTGAAAGAGTGCAATCAAAAAGCACACGCCCCTGTACATCTACCTCCATCCATTGCAATGAAGGCTAGGGCAGGTGCGAGGTCTTGAGCTTGGCAGTCTTCAGCTGCTGGTCGAGCTCCTCATGAAACACGCGTTGCAGGTTCCCTAAGTCGTATCGCTGCGTCATTGTTCTTTGGAAACGCTTCTGTTGCAACTCTTCCCGGATTTCCACATCAAGCCCCTGCCCATGTGCCTGCACATCGCGCTTGCTGATTTTCGTCACCCAGCCTGCTTGGGCCCCAAACTCGGTCCAAAAACAAAAACATGGTTGTACGTTTTTTTCATTCTACATGCAAGCAAGGGTGTGCGCAACTCTGTAAAGCTTGACAATTCTTTGATGAACGTGTTGCGTAAGTCTTCCTTGCCCGCGCGCCTGTTTGCTTGGCATCGTATGTCAACCCTCCTGCGTTGGGCCCAGCTTTTGATTCGGAGCGCGTGTTGATCGTTCGGAACCTGTTGCGCGTTGATTTCGCTGCACGGTTGACACCGCCCAAGCAAAGCCAGGGATGCCCACTCCTGATTGAACTTGATGGCATCTGCGAACTTTTTGGAGTACTCCTGGCAAGGCGATCGAATTGAATGGAAACATTGGACGCATCTTGGGGCCAAGCTACAAGCTTCGAGGTCAAGAAACTGCCAACAAGTCACTGCAATGGCTCGCCTCTGCATAGATGTTGCCATGACGAACACTGGTGATATTGTCGATGACGGTCTTGAGGCGGTCGTACTTCTCCAGAGTAACACTTCCTGATCCAACTCCGCGCTATAGGCTTGGCAATCCAAACAAACACCATGTCGAACCCTCAAGCTTTGCATATGGTTGCTTTAAGTTTGCTGCAACAGGTTCATAGTCTTGAAAAGTTCGAAGAGAGCTTGAGACAGGTCTTAAATTTCAAGCGTATTCTACTTCCAAATGCCACCCAACTGCCCAGGATGCTATCAAGGAAAGACTTAAGACTTGATGCACAAGCAAGGCATATCATGTCGTGACAAGCAAACCCAGGTACTAGTCCACAATCAATGTAACTCGACCCGGCCATGCGAGCGATTTCGGCTCAGGGCAAAACTTAGAGCTGTGAATGGATAGTCCTGCCAACTGTCTCCTGCAAATACCTGAAAAGTAGCATTTCGAGGATCAGCCAAACAACCCATGCTTTAATCCCAATGCAATGCAAGCCCTCCGAGCTCAATTATATCTCTAGGAATTTACCATGTTCCTACGTGGAATGGGCATGGACTATTCAAGGGTGGCTCCCCGTGAATAAAATTGTTCTTCTGGCTGAAATGAATAGCAACTTCGGATGAATCCAGAAGGCATAATGATCCAAGGACAAATTACTTGTCATAAGTATGGTCACTCCAAGGTAGACTTAAACCCAGGGCAAGTCTACCGGGCAATCAACCAATGGGTATGTCATTTTTTTACGAGAACAAACAAATTTGTGTTCCTTTTGGTTCCCCTCAAAACCACAAAAAAAAGGGGAGACCCTCCAACAAGGACACACCCAATAGAACTCAGGTCGGCATCGATTTCGCCAGTTCCCTCCGTCCTGAGGTCTGATCTATGATTTCCACCGACGTAGTCCTGCCCTGCGACCACGTGGACATGCCGGCCACCGAGAAAGACATGGTTCCTCAGTGACAAGTGGCCTAAGTTGGGACCCCTTCCTTGTAAGATACATCCAAAAGCTGTCAAAACAAAGGGGATCCTCCAAATCAGATCTCAAAAAATATCTTTTTCAAATACCCATTTCCATATGTTGCGACATACCCACATGGGTGTTGTCCTAAAAACCGGAGAACCCTACAACATGTTGGTTTCCTTTTGATTTCTTTTGGGGGGGGATCCTCCAAATTTGCGGGTGGTTGTCCAGCCCAATGTACCTTGCGGGACAGTGTAAACGGCCAGAGTCATCCGAGCTGCGATACTTCTGGGACCCAGAAGCCAGCGCATCCTTACTGGCAACAGGAACAGGACTGCTAGTCACATCCGGTTTTCGCACATACACGAAGCTGGAATTTGGATATCAAGCAATGCTTTGCGGCGGTCTGACATACTCTAAGCGGAACGTCTTGCCGCACAACCGCGGCAAAAATATGAAGCGGATTGAAGGACATCCGAGCTGCGGCTATGCGACCGCCGGCTCCCTTCTGCGTGGAACCAGCATTCTGACATGTCAAAGTCTGGGCAGCCTGTTGCTGGTCAGAATGCGAGAATAGGCCAGTGCAACCTTGGCATACCCCTCAAGGACTCAAAGCAACGGATGGCCAGGCAGGCACCGTCTGCGATTGCACATGAGCACGCGGAATCCGCAGACTGTTGGTTCTACTAAGAAGCTCACAAAAGCTTATATAGGCCTTGCTACAATCCTTACGAGGACCACCTACTAAAACTGCCTTTTGGGTTTCGTGCGCTGCTCTGGCACGAACCACAAAACTTCTTCAAGAGAAGCGGCGCTCGCCTGCATCATCGTCCCATTGATCTTTCGACAACGGCTCTGCAAGCGAACCCATGTTGCTGAGGAAGGCCATCTCTTGCTGGTCGTACAGCTCCTTCATTTTCTTCTGGGCGAACACGTGTGTATTCACCAGATGGAACCATGCATCGTAACATAAAACCTCAACCCCTTTTTCGCTCCTTCAGGATGGTTAAGCGAGAATGGATTCCGAATTCCCCACATGCTTGACCATTCGTGGTGATCGTGTTGAGCTCAGATGGCGATAGGGCCACTGATCTGCGGACATCAGTATACTCGTCGTAGAGCCCGCAATTCATCGGCACCAACATGTTGAATGTGTCAGCACCTTGGCTTGGGATGCAACAGGAATGTGCAGAGCAAACACAAGCATGACGATTCACTGCCCCGATATGTTTACCATTGTCAAAGCCAGCCCCCAAGTGGTCCGTTAAATTAAAGGGACGCAGTGTCTGACTTGGAACTGGCCAAAAAACTGACCCCGGATTCACGGCCCCGCTTGCAAAGGCCCGCACCACCGTTCATGAAGACCATCACCAGCGCCTTGTAGGATCTTGGGTCACTCGCCACCTCTGGAGGCGGAGAGGTGCGTGGGCCCATGGGCAAAGGGCTGCCGAAAGTGTGAAACTCCGGCGTCATCACCATGGCCATCCTCGCACCAAGTCATATCTGCATGGCATGCCCCAGTCCAGTGCGCCTGTCTGCAAACAAGTTGCTGGGCCAGTTTGTATTCATGGCCTCCAGAAGCACCCCTGTAGGCGGAATAGATCATCTCCTTGTCGTGCAATCGTCCACCTGCCCGCACCCATTGACGTGGCTCTGCCACTATCACTAAGGATTCCAGTGTCACGGTTTCAGCTTTTTGACACGGTCGGCCTCCTGCTTTAACACAGAACAGTTCGGGATCGGAGCTGACGACCTGCTACTGCCAACATTCACTCGGGCAGACTTCTTGCAACGAGGAAACCTCACGCATCAGCGCACTAGCTCGTAAGCCAAGAACGCGCAAGGTGACTGCGCAAACCCAAACGCCGCACATGCGAAACTTGCGCGACATGTGGGTTGTTTCTCAAACAGCGGTCCCAAAAAACGGCTGATTTGTCCTTCTTTGGTTTCCTTTGAGCACCAACCAGAAGGGGTTCGAAATCCATTTTGAGGGAGCACACAAGCGTGAAGCGCCTGTGAGCAGCAGGTCCAGCTGGTCGATGGTCGGCTGAAGGCAGTCCAGCTCCCCCAGGGTCAGCTCTCCAGTCGAGCAGTCCGAGGGAGACTCAAAGCCGAAGCCCCCATCACAGACCCCCAGGCCCCTGGCAGTGCGAAGCTCAAACCATGGCTTGAACCAAGCCGCCCGAAAACAAAACCAAGCTCGGGTCTGGTGGTACCCAGCCTCTCGATCAAAGAGGTCAGGCCGTTCACAAAGCTGATGGCCAAGGGTGGCGTGAAGATCTCGAACTCCGGGCCGACCATGGCCTCCGGAAAGGCGTCCTGTCGGACAGCAGAGATTCTTGGGCCATGCGTGCTGAAACGCCATATAGCGCCTTTGTGTTGGTTTGGTTTTCCTTAGGTGCCAATGGCCTGGTGCCCATGCCCATTTCTGTTCATTTCCCCCCCCCGCCGGCTTGAAGCCCGGCAGGAAGAAGTTGAAGACCGAAGGCGAGAGGAACGGGAACTGGCCGATGCGCGGCATCAAGTTGGTGAGGAGCACGTTTCGATCAGCTCCTTATAAGTGCATCAGGGGTTGCTGATCTTCCCAATACTCAAAAAAACTTGACATGAATAGAATACGTCCAAGCAACCATCCTTGTATTCCATGGATCGCATGAAGTGGATGACCTGCAATGCCAAGAGCGCGTCTAATATGGGGGTGTAAAAATAAGGACCAACAAAAGGAATCGTCCTTTAGGTTCCCTTGAAAACCACCCCAAACAGGACTCCCTCAAAACACACAGCCATATGCTTGTCACTTGCATCTGATGCATGCTCATCTTAACTTCGGAGTACTTGCGGGTGTGCGTCGCCTTTTTGGCAAGGAAATGGTCCCCTGACCAGTAGGATCCTCCTCCGAAATTGGCCCGCAGGCAACATTAGTTGGGGTTCTGCGAACGATGCCTTTTAACGGAAATCAAAAGGGATGGATCATCAAGTCGGGTCATTCTCTCAGGGACCCAATTGAAAAAGCAAGATTGGGGTACCTCTCCGAATTGTGGAGTCCCCTACAATGGCTAGGATTCCTTTTGTGTTCCTGTACAAACCAAAGGTGGTCCACCATTTGGGTGTGAATTTTGCTTTGCGACCCTGTAAACATCACTCAGGTGGAGATCCCCAGCCACCTGGCCTTCAGCAAGGGCTCCCGCAGGGCGCCGTTTGAGGCGGTGGATTGGCCGCGAGCTTCGGGATGCAGCAGGATCGCCGCTACGGTCGCTCCCAGGTCTCCGTAGACCTTGGCGAAAAAAGCCGCTGACGCGGCTGGGGGTCAAAAATCGGTACCCGCAATGAAACCTTAGTACATGGAAACATGGACTAAAACCCACGGACCCCTAGTGGCTTAATTTTGACCCACACCCACATTGCATAAAGTTATAAAGTAACAGCATTCGCCCTGGGAATCCAAGCGAACATGCAGCCAAGTGTCACCACTGTACGTGCGCCCGTTGTAAGTGCCTGTTCTGAAGGCAGTGGCAACATCTTGCACGTATGCCGGAGTAGGATTGGAACTGCCGAAGCGCTGCATGAGGCGGTAGGAAATGAAGGGGGCAGTGTTTGGATGGAAAAACAGGTGGTCCAGCAAGCTCTCCACCTGCGTCAACATAGGGCCCGAAGCCTGTGGCTTTTCCTTCTGGCTCTTTAAAACCCACGCTCCGATTCGTGACTTAGGCCGCGCCAACGAAACGAAACGCCGAACCGCCCCGCCCCACCTCCGCGTGGACATCTGGCTCCCTGGGATCCTCCAGGGTCACAAAGACCGGGGGGTTGCGGAACTCGAAGCCCCCGGCCAGCACCACCAGCTCCTTGTTCCTCGGTCTGAACGCCTTCTTTGGCCTTCTAAAGTTGGGCGTTCTGCGAGGGGTTGCGCTTTTTTTTTTCCTCGGGGGTGTTGGGGTTGGCTTGGGAAGCCAAAGGGGCCCGCTCATTTTTCGGGGGTGCCCCCGATTTGGACGAAGCGTGTGGCTGGGAACCGCCGAGGATCTTGTAGAACTTGCCCTGGTGCTCAAAAACCGTGTCCGGATCATCCATCGCCCCATAAGCACGCACAGGACCAGAGCACTGCGTACACTGGCCAGCAGGCTTCACTGCACCGATCTTCAACTGCGACAGCTCGCTGCCGCTCGGCAGCGTACTGAAGACGCTGCGAGCCTGGACCGTCATGCTGCAGCTGCAGCCATCATCGTGCACCCGGCAGCCGGACGGGCAAGCGCTGCCGGTTTTCACGGGGAAACCGCTCTTCCAAGGCACAAAGAACTTGTTCTGCCGTGTTCTGCTGGTGTAATTCGAGCTGACCTTGCCATCGCTGTAAACGATGACTTCGTGGCTGCAGGACTCTGGAGTCCACACGTGCTCTTCGTCCAGGCCGCAGCCAAAGCCTTCCATTCTCTCCCAACCTCGGTGCACAGGGCACAGCTACCACGACTGCGACCTGCATCACCCTAGGCTTCCGGCAAACCTCCAATCCGCGGCTTGCACACTCTCGCTCCGCGGTGGCCATGATCACACGTTCCTGCGGGTATCCGCAAACTCGCTCACCACGCCAAGGCCCCTTCGTACAGTCATCGCCAGCCTGGGCGCCGTACATCGTTCTCACAAGCTGGTAGGTGCTACAGGTACATGTCAAGTCTTGGAAGTGCCATGTGTGTGTGTGTGTGTGTCTCTGTGTGTGTGTGCGCGAATTCGCGGTGCATCAGAATCTGAGACCAGCTCCAGCAAGCGTGCGTGTGTGTGTCTTGGGGTACAAGCTGGGCTTTTGCCAAGAATCGTATCCGACGTCATTCTCCCAGCAGGCCAGTCGACACCACTGATGCTCTCTCCACGTCTCGTCGTTGTTGCATTTCTCTGTAAAGAGCTGGGGACAGGCGGTCGTAGCCTCGACAAAGTGATCTCAAGCTGCTGAAGGCAATCGCAGCAAGATGGGCTTGTCTACAAACAGGGAAGCCCCACAAAATGGTCGGGTTCCACTTGGTTTCCTGTAAAACCAACAGGGAGACCCGAAAGAAAGGAACCCGCTTCGTGCGGCTGGGGTGCGTTCTCGCAGGAACATTTCTTATGATCAAGCCACCACCAATCTTTGCGATTCTTGCAGCCTCCACAGCAAGCAGCGCCTGCGAGAAAAAGCGGCAATCAGTCAGCCAACTGGGGTCTCAAGAAATGGGGTCGCCCGCTGAGGGTCTGGGCCTTTTCCCTGTCCGTTTTCCTTTAAACCCCCCAAACAGGCGGAGCACGATGCTCCGCGTCTGCGCCTGCGATTGGAAGGTTGGGGTTCTGGCATTCGTCCGTCCAGCCCCAGGCACGGCCACCTCTGCGTGTCACCTGCAAGAGATCGTGCCACAATTGGTACAACAATTCTGAACCACAAATCGGGGGTTAGCTGACTGGCAGGGTTGGTTCCAATATATCTTACAACCAACCACTACTGGTCCAAGCCATTTAAATGGAAGCCCAACGAGGACTATGTAACGCAAAGGGGACTATTTAACGCAACAAGGAGTTGGCCCAAACTTGCAGCTGGATCAGCAAAAGCTGAAACCGGCCGAAGCCTGCGCACGGCAAGCTTGGCTCCATTCGGTTCAGCAATCATAGCACATTTATGAAGGTTGAACTAGGATTGGGACAGAACGCCCAGCATTGGGTGGGAAGTGCGACAACACGCAGACCAACTGCCTCATTTGTGTTGCAATCACAAGCTCCAGCAGCGAATGCACATCGCATTGTACCCCAAAGCGCATGGCAGTTGTGACAAGATTCTGAGCCGCACAATACTTAGTGCTTGTCTTGGTGAAAGGCCAAGAGAAACTGCCGCGCTATGCTTTAGTCATTACAGATCAGCTAAATTAGGCTCTGGCTTGAAATGTTCGGTTCTCCTTGGGCCCACTGGGCTTGCCCTGGGCATAATGAACAACCTCTTGATAGACAGTGATCAAATAGCGCCTCTCAGAAGTCACTACATCATTTCCCGTTGCCAGAAGGACGACAGCGAAATGCTTGGAATTTTGACATCCCACACGCGAATGAGCGCTTTCCTCGCCTGGCCATTGAAGAAGAATAGGTTGACACACGTGGGTGGCATGTATCGGTAGAAGCCTCGAAAGCTGCCCCGACGCCGATCGGAAACTTATCCATTCCAACTGGCGTGAGTTTTGTCCGTCAGTAATTCTTGGATGTTAAGCTAGTGGGGCTGGAGGTTTTCGGCAAGCAGCCGCCAGCGACATTCAGCACGGACACTGTGTTCACGGTGCACTCTGGACCGCTGCATGCCAGGTCATTATCCAGCTCCCAAGTCAAGCGATGCTTGCAGGGCGCCCCACCTTTCAGAAAAAAAGCTTCATGCGTGGACCCCTCTAAGACGGAAGATGATGGATTGTCTGCCGAGTCTCTTGAGTCACAGAGTCGAGCAAAAAGGAGCGAACTCTCAGTGAGATTCAAGACCTCCGTGCGCTTAACTTATCATTGACAAACTCAGTGCACCAAACGAAGCATGGGAAAAATCGCCCCGGGCCGTGGCACAAGTTGAAGCCAATGCATTAATTTATCTTTGCCAAGGACCGCAACACCTCTGACAGCAACCTGAGGAAGGCACATCTGAGCCAGCATAGCTGTGACCAATGAACTCGTACTTGGCGCCTCACGTCCAGGACAGGCATTGCGGAATCTAAATACTCTACCTTGAAAATGTCTGCGATGGCTGTGTGGTCCCTTCCACCTCCTCCGTGTTCAAACCAAAACATGCAACGCTCTTGATGCTCACAACGCTTCCTTGCGTTTGCGTCAGCTACCCACAGGAACGGCTATTTGCCAAAGCCAGCTTCACATTGTGTTTCCCCTCCATTGTGTTTGGGAGAGGTGGCTGGCTTGGTACTGTCTCAGTATTGTCCCACTACTCAGACTCTGTCAGATGCCAGATGTTGATACCATTGCTTACATTACATAATATGTATGCATAGAATGTATGCCCCCCCCCGAAATTTGGCTCAGCGGTTCAATGAAACTCGCGTGGTTTCTTTTGTCTGGCTTTCGGGCCTGCGCGGAGGAAGTAGCCCGTCGGCAGGTCCGCACACAGCGGATATCCATCGCCCAGGAAGTTGCCGTCCAAGTCTGGCTTGGGATAGGCATCGTGCCAACGGGCCTGGCACGCTGCCTTTCTCAAACTTAGGGACGAGTCTTGTTTCAAATGATTGGCCATGCAAAAAGAGGGAGACCCCTAGTCGAGGTTTCCGGTTGGTGTCCCTTCAAAACCACACAAAGCGGGGATCCTTGAGACATCCCCGAATCCAGGACGAGAACCTTCGGCGCCGAATCCAGGTGATCCAAGGCACAACAATCCGCATCGGATCAATCAGGTTGTTGTTCCAGGCAAACTCGATGTTGTCCCGTCTGGGCTGCTCGTCAAAGCCTTGAGAGCCATTCTTCCAACATGGTCGAATGTCATACCACTTGCGCAATCCGAAGAAAGCTCCAACCAGAGACATGCCTATCAGACAAGGCGCCCGTGAAAACCCGTGCGAAGTTCATGATGTGCTCGTTGGTGTACGTGGGAATATCTTTTCCGGCACCGTCTTTGGCTCTGGTGCCATCTGGATTCAGCTTCCACAGGCCGATGGTAAATAGCTGCATGATCTCCCTGGCAATGGAAACGAGCAGACTCACAATGAACAATCTGCGGGGACAAAGAAAGAAGAGAAGAGGATAATTTCTGGCAGTGCCTGGCGAAATTCTCGTCTGGATAGTTGTTGCTCTCATCGAAGGCCCTATTTCTCTTGTACGTGAGATAGCTGCCCATGAGGGGGTTGTAGGCCACTTCGCGCAAGGCGTCCCGAAAGTTCCCAAACGCGTTCCTGACAAAGATATCGTAGTAGCTCAACCACATCTCACTCTGTCCATCGAAGTTGCCTGCCTTGGTCGGTATTCCCCCTGCAAACTCGTTTGCCGTGGGGAAGCAATAGTTGTCTCAAAGGGTAAAAAGGATATGTGGCTGTGGGTCAAACATAGGCAGCTAAAATGGAACACTGGTAAATGGAAACATGGACTAAAACCTGCGGTCCCATGGGTGGATTAATTTTGACCCACACCCATGTCGGTACCAACGAGAAGCAAGCTGCCTGCACTGCCATCACAAGAATCTGAGACAACGCCCATGCCATCCGCTGACGAAGCTGGTCATCGGCATGCAAGGCCTGCATCGTCCAAACCGCCGACTTGGTCAACCGATCCGTACCCCACCGCGAATAATACTCCATGTCAAAGTGCCAGTCGTACCTCGCAGGTTCGCTGATCCCTTATCTATTAGTCAAACTTGTGGGATATGCTGCTAAACTCTGAAAGAAACCCCAAAAGTCTATTGAACCATATAACAGTGGGTCAAAAATCGGTACCCAAAATGGAATCCTGGTGAATGGAACCAAAGACTAAAACCTGCGGTCCCCTGCATACCCATATGGCCGAAAAACCGAGGAACTCCCCTCCATGGGTAATGGCCAGCTGATGCCCCAGAAGCGCATCGTTGGCCACTTCGCCCGGCGAGCCACAGACGATGGAGTACTCGGCCTCGTTCTGACCGCCGCTGCCGAATTCGTCCATCAAGGCCTGTCCAGTGGCAAACATGGAGGGCCCGCTTGCTTGCTGGTGATAGAGCGGGTGTGCGCTTTTTAGGAACCCGGCCCCCTCTTTCCGGATCCAAAGTGACACCAAAGGGAACAACCCCACTTTTCGGGTGCCGATTTGGAGACACCAATCCCTTCAAGCCGCAGGGAAGCCTCACAAGGCCTCGCGCCTGGGTCTGCAGTGGTTGCGGAAGCTCTTGGAAGTGGACTGTCGCCTCGCAGGGCTCCCCATGTGCGGGCGAGGCGGAAGGCGGGAGGGGGGGGGGGGGTGTTAGGGTAATTTTGGGGTTGATTTCAAGGGAAACCACAAGGAAAGCCACAACAGGGTCCCCCCATGTTGACGCATACCCCCTTTCTTTCCCCCTTGTACATCACCCCTGGTGGAATCTAAAAGTGCTACGGGCAAAGGAGAACATGGAGGGACGCCTGACGGATTTGGAGAACCCCAAAATGGCTGGGCCCTTGGGCGTCGGCTGCCCAGCCTTATACTTCCCCACCAAGTTGGGGCGCAGCACCCCAGGCGCGATGCCCTCATCCCAGCGGTCCATGCCGTGCCAGGAGGGGAACTCCAGCTCGAAGCCCTGGACCGGCAGCTCAATCACGTGAGCTTTACCCCAAAACTTAGAACTGGTGGACTTGTGGTTCTACTAACATGGCCATACAGGTTAATACAGGCTTAAATAGGCTTGGCCATACAGGTTAATACAGGCTTAAATAGGCTTGGCCATACAGGTTAATACAGGCTTAAATAGGCTTTACCATAACTTTCATAACCCCAATGAAACAAGGTGGCAGAACCACATGCTAGAATGGCCAGTTGGTGCATCTGTTTTTGAGGGAAACCCCCAAAGGGTAGTGTCCCTTTAAAATCACCACAAGACAGATACCCTGCAAAAAGGCAACCCTGTATGATGTGTCATTTTGTAGGGGGGCCCAACATCACCGGATGGGGATAAGTGGGTCCGGCTTGTGCTGATTAGTTGGACCTCTTGGTGGACCAGAATTTCGAGGTTGTTCCCCATTGAAACTCATGATCAAGTCGATGCAGAACATATATATATATGTTGTGATGTTGCTGTCTTGCTTTCATGTACGCTGACAGCCCCATTTTGCAGCCTGAGACGTCCACTGGGTGATCTTGCTCTTGCCACCCGGATGTTGATTGGACCAATCTGTGAAGTCAAAGACATTGAACTCGTCCAAATGAACGTGCTGGAATGTGTCCGAGCCCACCTCCACCACGGCGTTGGCAGGAACATTCGAACAAGTCAGGTCAACGTCTCGCAGCCAGCCCTGCGAGGCGGAAGCGGTCAACTCCGCTTGGATTGCATCCCTGGACGCTGAAGGCATAGACGTTGTCGAACAGCTCTCCGTGGCGCAGTCCAGCTTCTTCCACCTGGGTGGGTGGGTGTGTGTGTGTGTGTTTCTTGACCCTTTTCACCTTGCGTCTTAAAAAGAACTCAAAAGGAAAACCGCAACTTTGGGGGGTCACACATCCTATTTCGAGCCCCACCTGGACCGCTGGCCGCAGGGCGCCGCAGAAGTGCGAAGGCCCTTGATGGCGTAGACATACCGCCCGCCCACCGCGAAGAACTTCTGAAAGCTCGCGGAGTCCAAAGGGAGCTGAATCTGCTGCACGCCCACCGGCAGGCAACCGGGCAGAAGTTTGCAGCTGCCCGCATTCAGAAATGTCCGGGTCACGGCCGGACAAGTTCCTGTTGCACCATGTGACACAAGCTTGACTTTTCTTGAGGCTCGGTATCCTTTTAAAGGGATGTCAAAAGACACGCCACCATTTTGGGGGATCCCGGGATCCCTCTACTTTGACAAGCCATGCCCACATGCTTCGTTCGATATCGTTTAAACGACCTCCTTTGGGTTTCCCTTTGAGCGGGACCAGGGCTTGATCGTTCCAACAAAGAACTGCCCAACCCTGCCTCTCACCCATGACCCTGATGATGCTGGCTTCTCCACAGTGTTCTCCACCAATTCCAGCCGCGACTCGAGCAAGTAGAAGCGCCCTGTTGCTTCCACGTCGGACCGGACAATGGTGCCCAAATTGCACTGATCAGGAGACGCAGTCAAATGAATGACGCCAGGTCTGAATACGATGAAATTCAAGGCTTGGGTCATGTCAGAAGTTGGGCTTGCTCTCCAAACCTTGGCAGTCTGTTGATCCCCTGCTAAAAGATACATGTTTCCTTGAACATGCGGTAAATCCCACTAAACTCCAAAACTCCACAAGTCTCAGGAACCGTGTTGCTGGGAGCCGCCAAGAAACATGAGGATTTGTCATAGCCATGAGTCCCTGCTCACAACCACTGCTTGTGCCCAGTTGCACCCAGGCTCCCACTGCATTTTCTTTCACGCGGCAGACGAAGCCTTCGAAGGTCACTCCTGGCGCGAAAAGCCGGATGAAAATTGATGAATACGAGCCATGGTCCATATTCATCCCCAACTGACGGGGTTTTGGTGAGACTCTGAGAACCCCCCCTCCCCCATCACAGTTCTCAGTGGCATTTTGGTGAGCGTACCCTATGTCAGCCTCTTTACTACCGTAGAGAAAAGTGAAGTTTGGCAGCTGCTCATATCCAAAAATGCCTTTTGCATACATGTGTATATATATATATGTATATCTAATGTAGATATATCAACTGGGCATCTTCAAGTGCAAAACTCCGTCCTACCCACCCACTGGAGCAGTCATCCCCGGCATAGCCATGCCCTTGATCGAAGCCTCAGCAGACAGAAAAGGGCTCCCTGTTTTGGTTGGATGTTAAAGGGAAAACAATCCCAAAAATGCCGAGATGGTATCTCAACCCTTCTGGAACCCTGGTTTGATTGGTTGACTTTAAGAAAAAACTGGTTGGTTGGTTGATTTTTGGCTGGTTGTTTGGAAACCCATCCCCAAACCGAAGAGACAAACAAGGGGTGGGATGCGACTGGTTGCGACTTGGAAGCAGGTCTGCTGACACAGCTCGGACTCCTTCCAGAACTCCTCGTAGCAGTTCCATGCCATGCTTTCCTCAGATATCTCGCCAGTTGAAAGGTTTTCCGCTACATCCAAGGCGAAATTGCCACATTCCAGGGGATAGCTGCATTCTATGGGGATTCCCGATCCAAGGATTGGAGAGTGGTCGTATTTCATCTAAGATCGTTCCACTACCAAACAAACACGATGTGAAGTGCACTTACTCCATTTTCCGGGGGGCGGGGGGAGTGTTTTGGTGGGACTGGAAACCCTTCGGAGCTTCAAATACATTCCGGGGATTCCCAACGAAACGTGATATGAATATCTGACAATACTACCCGAAATGCAAAACCACCAGGAACCTAGCTAAAAAGCCATACTCAGCAATATTGTCCGTTGTTCATGCATGTGTATGAATATGTAATCACATGTGTGTATATATACATATATAATGTTTATATATGTATGTATGTATATATATATATATATATATATGTACATGTGTGTCTTGTCATTTACTGTTGTTTCTAGAATTATTCAACTTTTACTAGAAAAAGTATTGTTGCTAATATTATGACTACTAATACTATAAAAACAAAGTATTGGTGTTATTGCTCTTACTGCTGTGATCTTTATTGATATTGTTGTTATGTTTTGTATCGTTACGATGACTGTTGGCGTTGTTGATACTGTTGCTAGTAGAGTAGCATGTCTATTATTACTATTCTTGTTGTTGCTCTTGTTCTTGCTCTTCTTGTCGTTGTTGCTGTTGCTGTTGCTGCGGCTGTTGCCGTTGCCGTTGCCGTTGTCGTTGTCGTTGTCACTGTCGTTGTCCCTGTCTTTGTCCCTGTCTTTGTCTTTGTTGTTGTTGTTGTTGTTGTGGTTGTAGTTGTGGTTGTGGTTGTGGTTGTGGTTGTGGTTGTGGTTGTGGTTGTGGTTGTGGTTGTGGTTGTGGTTGTGGTTGGGGTTGTGGTTGTGGTTGTGGTTGTGGTTGTGGTTGTGGTTGTGGTTGTGGTGGTGGTGGTGGTGGTGGTCGTGGTGGTGGTGGTGGTGGTGGTGGTGGTGGTGGTGGTGGTGGTGGTGGTGGTGGTGGTGGTGGTGGTGGTGGTGGTGGTGGTGGTTGTCATCGTCGTCGTTGTTGCTCGTGTTGTTCTTCTTCTTGCTGTTGTTGTTGATGTCGTTGTTACTGTCATTACTACTCTTGTGCGTGTCACGAGAATGAATATGGTTACGATTATTATGATTAGTACGATTCTCATATGTTGATTGTTACTATCATTCTCATTATTATTGCCTACATATTTATATATATATATATGTGCCAACAACATGTGCAACAAAGCTGCGCGATCTGCGGTGCATGCCTCTCCGCGCGACTGCCAGCCGTCAGGAGCAACATCACTGCAGCTCTGTGGTGCACTCATGCCATTGCCTGAACTGGCTCAAAAAGTCACACCGTGTCAAGCTGAATTGGTTTCCTCTTTGATTTCCACGTTGATCAACCAAACACGCCTCAAAACCACACCCCAATGATTTGACAAATCAATGTTCTATACGGCTCGACAAGCCGCTGCTGACCACAAGAGTTATGAGCCCAAACCGACCCTAAGTCTTGCTGTGCGGACTGATGGACGCTGGAATGAGGGGAAGGAGGGCAAGGAGCGCCGACCCGGGGATCATGGTGGCCGAGCTGGAGGGCGAGGTTCATGAACAGGAAGATCCCGCGGGACGCGCTGGAGAAGGGCAGCGGAGGGTGGAGGTAATTTTTGTCTGGAGCTCACGTGCGGTGACCGAAGCGGAGTTGAATGCAAGAAGGCCTGAGGGCCTGCCCAAGATCCCGGACGCGAGCCCCCGGAAGGTCGAGAGGGAGCTTGACGCTTGCGCCGGTGACGCTCCGGGAGATCTTCCTGCGAACGTGAGGGTTGGTGGCCACGCGGAAGCTGCTGGGAGTAGACCGGGAACGGAGTTCTGGAGCGAGATCAGGAGAGACCGAGGACCGGAAAGGTCAAGGCGCTGATTGGAGGACGCGCTGATTGGAGGAGGACGGTCTCGGCATGCAGGACCAGAAGCCCAGGTCCTCGCCCGGTGAGAACGGAGAAGGAGCCCTATGGCAAGGCAGATCTAAATCCCTATGAGCGGGAAATGGCTTATGGAGATGCGGTGCTATGGCTGAGGATGCTCGCCTTGCATGTAGTGGCACAGGCATCCACGGCACGGCGGACAGGGTGATGTTTGCCAAGGAGCAGCCGAGGGATCCGGAATATCGAGATGACGACAACCGGGACTACATCAGCGTGTGGCGGTTTCAGGAGTGGAAGAGCTTTGCACAGAAATATGACATGCACCTGATCAGATGTGATCAGGGAGCACTGGGAGGCGGAAGCCAACGGCGCTGGGGGTGAACGTGCCGTACCTGGACCACCTCGATGGCATGGCTGGTGCAGGTACGGGGGAGGAAGATTGGAAGGGCTGGACTGCAGCTGGAAATCATGAAGGCCATCAGGGCGCACCTGAGGATGAAGCCGCAGAAGCCGTTGAGGCCAGAAGAAATGCAGCGGTGGAAGGAGCACTTTCTCAACGATCACTTGCCGGCTGCGTCCAGGCGGGTCAGGGGAGGCCACATTTGAGGATCACGCAGCCAAAACCGTACACGTTGGCGGTGGACTTGTCGGGGAAGATGAAGAAAGGCGGCAGGGTTGCCTACTTCTTGGTGGGGGTGTACACCTACCTGAAGAGGAGGAGCAGCCACTACCCGCTGATGAAGATCTTCTACCGGAGGCGGAGGAAGGAATGGAACCGCTGGAGGTAGGGGAGGAAGAAGAGGTGGTGATGGAGGAAAAGGAAAGGGAAAGGATGTAGGGGATGGAGAGTTGGAAGAAGCTGGTACAGGAAGCGACCAACTTCAGAGCCAAGAGCTTGGTGCTTGCGGCACCGGTGGAGGATAGGAAGATCATGAATGTGCTGCCGGCTATCGCGAAGATCTACGCACGGTTGAGGGCTCTGGGGCTGCCGGTGATGAGGTTGCACTCAAATAGAGCAAGAGAGCTTGTTTCGGCACCGCTGCGGAAGTTCGCGGAGGACAGAGGCATCTACAAGACGACGGTGCCGGGCGACAGCTACAAGGAGAATGGCCGAGCAGAACAGGTGGTGGGAGCGTTGAAGAGGGCCACGAGGACTGTGGCCAATGGCATTGAGACAAGCGGCAGAGAGGATGCTGAGAGGCCAGCTTCGTGGGGTTGGACACCAGGTGAAGCAGCTGCTGCCTTTTGGCACAACGGCCTTTGTGAAGAAAAAGGCGTGGACGGACCGCTACCAGGATTGGAGGTGGGATCGGGAGAAGGTCCAGGTGATGGGTCCGGACGCGGCAATGTCGCTCACTTCGGGTGGTTACTGGGTGAGGAGCTGTGTCGTAATGTGGAGGTTGAGAATGTGGTGGAGGAGCGGCAAGAGGCAGACCTCTTTGCGCCAAAGAGACGGCGTCTGAATGGAAAGCAGGCGGTGTCGACGATGCGCGTCGAGGGGGAGGTGGACTACTCCATGAAGGGGTGATGGTGGACTCCATGGATGAGGGGGTGAGGCCTTGCGCTGGCGGCTCTTTGGAGCAACTGTACGGCAACATCACTAAGTGGATGGCGGAGGAAATGAAAATCCTGGACGGTGTGAGGAGGGCCAGGATTGGTGGTTGCTGGTGGTCAGAGATGGCGTGCAAGAAAGGAACGAGCTGGAGGTTAAGCTCAGGCTGGTGGAAGAGACTGACCGCTTGGAAGAGTGGTGGGTTACCAAGACGGTGAGAATGCAAGAGGTGAGGTCGGAGCTGCAGCAGTGGATTGCTCCGGCTAAGAAGCCGGTGAAACTTCGGGGCGCAAGCCATTACCGGAGGATTGCTGTGGTTGGCAACGAAAACGAGGCCTGGTCTGGTGGCTGGCGTGGCGACAATGGCGAGAAGCATGAAGTTCCCTACGCAGGTGGTTGAGATCGGCAAGGCACTGCTCAAGTACGTGGACGCTACGAGCGAGGAGGGTCTCAACTACCACAAGGCTTCGGGATGGGGGGCACGCGACCACCTCAGTGTTAAGAGGCATGATCGCCTCTTGGAGGTCTTCTCGGACATCAGCTATGGAACAGCTGGTGACCACAAGAGCGTGCAGGGCATCCTGGGAGACGACGAAGCAACCATTCGTTGCGCGGTCCACTGCGGAGGCGGGCCTGATAAGGTATTGTGAGTCGTTGGTGGCAGGGAGGGCAACTGCAGCCTTGTTGGAGGTGATTCTCGGGGAGAAGCTCACGCAAAAGAGAATCTATGGCGACAACGTGGCGACCATAGCCTTGGCATCAAATGGCTTGGGGAGTTGGAGAACCCCACATTTGAGGATTCGGGCAGCCTCGCTTCGCTGGGCGCTGGAGGATGGTGGGTGGGCACTCACCCAAGCAGCTGGTTGCAGACGGCATGACAAAAGCGTTGAACGGCCAGGCCTTCGAGCGCTTCAGGGAAGACCTGGGCATGCCGGTGGTGTAGAAGTTGGTGAGAAAAGCCATTTTGGCCCGGAATGAGCAGGAGGCCTGGCAGTAGTATGGAGTTGAAAGTGAAGCTGCTGGTATTAATCGGGGCGGACTTGGTGGCCAAGGCATCGGCTTTGAGGGACACCATGCCCTGGGACGAGGTGGACGACGTGGTCCTCACGGTGATGGGCGCGGTTTGGCTTGCGAGGCAGACTGCGAGCATTGCGGTGGGGTGTGTGAGAAGCCTGAGAAGACTTCGGGGGAGGGGTTTCCTCACGGGACTTCGTCTCAGTGGGTTTTGCGGTGAGCTTCATGACCAATGGAGAAGGAAGTGGGTGGTTCTCGAAGATGTGAAGGGGCTTGAGCGGGAGCACCAAGAGGTGGGAAGCATCGAGCTCGATGGCACGAATGGCGGAGGCAGCGAGCTCTACGGCACGAACAAAAAGGTGCAGTACGAGCTGGAACCAATTCCAGTATGGCAATAAGGGGAAGGGCAGAAGGGCGCACAACTCGCAGAAGGACAAGGTCAAGCGGGTTTGAGCCGATTTTTGAGAGCTGCTAAATAGCCCAGCCGAGTTGCTACTAGCACCAGGGGGAGCCCGTTAGCAGTTGCACCGGTAGCCATTTTTGAGGACTCGAAGTGGTAAAACAAGCCGCTGACCACAAGACCAGAATATATTAATGAGCCCAATTTCAGCGATTGGGATGTTCAAGCCTGAGACCTGGCGCACATGCTGCTGGATGGCGCAAACCCCGTGCAAAAAGTTCGGTTTTGCTGTCCAGGTACGGGGAAAGCTTTAAATTTATGTTAAAGCTACACCTCTAAAGGTGGGGAAAAAACATTATTATCTAAAAATAAAAATAACATGGTAAAGTCTGAAGATCCAGCCCAATAGCACTCAAGCACACCTCAGCACCTAAAAAAAGAGCCTGAGCGGGGCCCCGGCCTTCGTACTGTGGGTCGATGTCGCTTCGATGCAGCCCGTCCACCAAGATCTTGCCTTGAGACACCTGCAGTCAACGCACAGCTGCCAAAGCGCATAGCCCATGTGCCAGGGTCAAAATATGCACTTGTCCTGAAAGGGTGCGTCCCCTGAAGTATGTGGGAAACTTGGGGCTTGCCCAATGTCCCTCCCAAATGGAACATAGACTAGCGGATATTTTGACCAAGTCTGGGAATGGCAACTGAAACCACAACTAGGCGGCAGCAGAAACCACAACTTGGCGCAGCACCCTCACAGGCTTTCCCTCGTCACGTCTCTGAAAGGTGTATCCGACCCAGCGCGAACCACGATCACATCTTGATCGAGCAAGACCAACCAACTCTCCTCGATCGATGTCAGCCCTTAGCCAATTTGTCAACATCAGCAATCCTGCTCGAAGATATGAATAAGTTCACAACCAGGCCATGTAGGCTGAGTGTCGAAAGCACATAAGGATTCACGCGCTTCCTCCAAAACTCCCGGTGAGACTGCGGCGGGAGGGCCATCTGGTTGTTGATCCACTGCTGAAACGTCATCCCTTTCATGGCCTTCAGGGCCAGACTTAGACCACAGATAGTCAACCTTTGCTAGCTGAAAGAGAAACTGAAGGAAAACCAAAGCGCAAAAAGCTGGAAAGGCTGAGTCTGGCAATGCCTCCAGGCTGGCCAAAGTAGGCCCGAAGCTGGCTTGAATAAGGAATTGTGCCTAAAGTGAAGAAGCCAAGACAATGCCACGAATGCCGCAGATCAAGGCATGAGCATGCACTGAATCTGAAGGCAAGTGAAAAGTGAAGCACTGCCAAAAAGTGTGGATCACAAGGATCACAAGGATGAAAACACACCGCAACTGGGTTCGGTTGCTCTGCCGCAAGGGCCACTTATGCAGCACAAGCCGCATTCCAAAATCTTGCTTGTAAGGCGCGGCACCTGTTGTTCAATCGAAACAGATGAGCTTGTGAATGTTGTCGTTGTTGTCGTTGTTGTCATTGTTGTGCTCGGAACAGTCCCGCCTTTGCCGCAACGCAAAGCATCATCTACAAATCTTCCAGTTTAGCTTTATTGCCGAGCTGTGAATCCTTGCAAAAAGCGCTCGACTCCACCAGGCCTCCATGATACGCCAGGCACCTCACAAGAGCAGCTCTCAGCTAAGGAGCTGTCAACAAGGGCCCTTGCATCTCTCTTTTAAACATCACCGAACAGAGACGCATCTGAAAATGGATAAATGGTTTTCAGAGATTTTAACATCTTAAGATCGTCAAAATCGCCGCCAAAATCTGAAAAAATCTTAAAATCGAGAAATGGTCATCGTGTCAGAGCCCAACCCCACCCGATGCGCCCGACTTCCTGCGACGGACGAAATGGATCGCTGCCAAGCGGCGCGAAGCTCGGCAGCGGTGCCGTGGCCTGGATGCCTTCCGGGCGAGTCCACAGCTCACAGCGGCCGGGGCTGTACTCGATGCCCATGCAGCCACCATGGACCCGACACGCCTGCTTGCACGCCTCAGGCAAGGAGCTGGCATGTGGCTTCCTTCTGCTCAGTACGGAGGGAAGCCAAAAGGAGAACCACTCTTTGGGGGTGGGGCGGGTCCCCCGATTTTGGCACCAACCAAGGCTTGAATGCAGCCGAAACGCAGCTTCGGAACCTGCACCTGAATGGGACGGATGTGTCAATATGCATCACACTCCTTGCCCTCCTTGAATCGCCCACAGGAAAGGGAGCTGAACAGCAGGGAATCGCGTCTCGTGGAACCAAAGCGCCCCGCTTCAAATCCATCTCACTTCAAATCTATCCCCCATTTAACGTCCCTAAGCCACTCCAGCGAATCTCTGATTCAAGAACTGGCCATCAAGCTGCTCCCGCTGCTGCGAATACATGCAAACTCAGTTGGCCATGGGTCAAAATCCCGTACCTCCAGTGAACATCCCAATCCCCACTGAAATAGACTAAAATGGCCGGTGCACCTACCCCAAAATGGTACCATTGGTTTTGACCCACAGCCAGTTGTTTCCAGCAATGCAATGTCTGGACTTTAATTTGGCCAGGTTAGCCGAGGCCTGGAGCCACCGTGTAGTGGGCAGGGTTGTTGTCAGAGCTGGTTGACCCTCGGCAAGCTTGTCCGTCGCCGTTGACCGCCGTGAATTCCAGCCTGAGGAGGCTACCCTTTTAAAGTTGGTCCGAATAAAAAGGCAAAATGACACCGACCCATTTCTTCTCTAGCAATAGAAAAAAAGGCAAATAGCTGCCAGCAGACTTCAGGCAGTGAAAACGCGATACCGCCACCGATGCCAGAATATCCCGAGTCCAGACTTCACAACGTCCGAACTCGCCATACTCGATGCCTGCCAGCAGAAAATGGGTTCGTGGCAAGACTTGTTCAAACCCCGGGTTCCTTTGAAGGGGAAACCAGAACCAGGAGGTCCAAACAGTTGGTGTCGAGCACCAAAGGTTTACACAGTTGTCACTGTCACCCAAGCCTGGGGTAGCAAAACTCATATTGAGCCAAAACCCGAGCCTCTGCATGCACTATTGCTTCTGCATTGGCCCTTGCACTCCGAGAGCGATGAGGCAGAACTGACCACTTTGTAGGCCTCCGCATCATCCATGGCGTTGTCTCCACGACAAGCGCGATCGGTTCCGGCATCAACTGGAATGAAGTCCGACAACTCCAAGGCGTAGCAGTAGTAGTCGGTTAGGCCTCGCACAACCACGTATGGCATGCGTAAAAACTTGCCTGCATCCGGACAAGCTTGCGTAAAAGACTCTGAGGCTTGCACTGATGCTTGCCTGAACTCCAGCCGGCCGTGTCCAAATCTCACATCTGCCGGAGACATGGTACTCAACGCCCTTGCAGGCGGCATTGCTCTCGCAAAGTGCTTGGCAAGCTGCGAGGTCTGCCAGACCCTGAGGGCGAGCAAATAGAAGCATGCCTGGTCTCTCAAACAGACCAAATCGCCTCAAGTTCTATTGCAAGGGAGGCGCCTCAAAATCAGGGCCCCTCAAATGGGCTGTCTTCTTTGGTTTCCCTTCAACCACCTGAGAAACCTCCAGTGGCCAACTTTTTTTTTTCAATCTCACCGGCCCTCTCCACAGTGAAGTAGGAGGCCAAGTTGTCACCGGCAGAAGCCCCGCGGCAGGCGCGATTCACACCGCCATCTACAGGGACCCACTCTTGCTCTGCCACGCCAAGCAATTCCTGAGATTGAACAAAAGGCATGAGCCTCAGGAATAGCACTGAGCAAATGGCACGTTGCCAAGGAGACAAGCACCCTTCTGCTGATGACTGACATCGGTTCCAGCCAAGACACAGTAGCAAGAACGAACTGATGCTGAAGCGAAGGAACTTTTTGTAGAAGCGTCAGGCCTTGCAATGGCAGAAATTGGGCAAACTCGGGCTCAAAGAAAGAAGACACAAACTGAGAAGAGCGCGCGCCTGAGCAGGATGAATTATCCGCAGCAACCCCCAGCACCAATTGGATCAGCACAGGCCTCGGTTGGAAAGTGACCTTGAGGCGCAATGCCTCCATGTCCTTACAGCCAAGCAACCAGCGCATAGGTAACACCGAATCTCTCGAGCCAAGCAGCTGCTCTGAGCACATGCCTCAGCCTCCTTCCTGCCTATGGACTTCTGCTAAGGACCCGGGACAATGGGACACTCCCCAATGTCCGAGCCTTCCAAATGGACCGCAAACTGGATATTTCACAGGATGGACATGGGATGGCCGCTGTGTGTGTGCGTGCAAAATCAGCGAGATGTCCGAGCCTGACCACAAGACGCATGGCCCAAACCTCATGCATCCCCAGCCGGATGTAACATGCCGGACGTGGCCTGCGGATCAAAAGGCGGAGGGGACACTTTGGCAGGAGCTTCCTGCGAAAAGTCCTGCGACAGAGCAAGCTATGGCAAAATGCGAGCAAAAACATGCAGGATTGGGTCGGGGGCCCTTCTTCAAACATGTTTGAACCACCGTTGTATTTAGGGTACACCCCCAATCATTTACTGATTCGCTAGCTACCAAAAGGTCAAACATACCAGGAAGAGCACAAACCCTCAACAAAACCCCAACATGTCTATCGAGGTTACCCATTGACCCTGGTAGCAAAAGGGGAATTCCAAAATTTTCGTAGGTGACCATCTTTACTGAGCAACTCACCAAACCAAAAGTCAAGGGTGGAATCCACAGAAGCACAATGGAGGCTGAGCCTCCAGCCTTGTCCCGTTGTATTCGAGTAAAAAGGGGGCCCAGTCCGAAACCCCGAAACCGGCGCATGTCCTCCAACTTCTCCTCAAGCTGCTCCACACGCTCCTACCGTGTAAAGTTCCGAGGCGCGCGAGTCGAGAGGTCGAGCGTCGGCGCCCGCCTTCAACGCGGACGCGGGATCTCGAAGTGCGCCGTAGTAGTTCCACAGCTGTCCCTGCCTCTCGAGTCGAAAACAACGCAGGGCCCGGGTCGAAGGATGCAGGCCCCAGGCTCACTGCTGACTTCATGGCTACAAAGGTTTACATGGGCCTTTTCCATAACCCTATGAGACCAGGTCGTAGAACCACCTACTAAAATGGCCAACGGGGATTTCGGTCATGCTCAAGTGACTGCTTAGAGCCCTGTGACCAGCCGACAGCCGACAACGCGGTGTTTAGCTGAAACAGATCTCACTGTTGGGCAGTTCAGGCCAATTTGCGATACGCACTCTGAAACATGAGCTGAGTTGGCGGCAAGTCTTCCCGAAGACGAGCAGTTGCTGCCTGCAGGGCCTTTCTGACATTCAAACAAGTTACACATCCCTAGTGGCGTAGGGGCCGAGGAACAAGTTTGGGCAACCCAAATGTACTTCAGGCCATGCTCATATTGCAAATTGCACGCCTCACCTTCTTTTTATAAAAGGTTTTGAATGGCTATGGATTTTACTAGGAGGCCCGTTGGTGGACATCATTTAGGTAGGGGATATATTTCCGCCAACCATTCGGGAGGGTGCCCTCCAATAAACAACATAGCAATGGCATGGTCTCCACGGTATTCTGCAACAAACGCGGAAGCACGGCATCATGCACCTCTAATTCTGCTCGCATTTCTGCGACACACCGCGCATCTAGATCTGCCATGGCCTGACTTTCTGAGACACACGTGTCACATTGTGCCATTCTTGACTCAGAAGCTAGAACTAAGCCAGCAGCCGGATTCTGCTGGAACGAGCCAGAGGTTTGTGTGTGTGTGTGTGTGCGTTGCTGTGGCCTAATGATGGTGTAATTTACACAAGACCGGAAGGAAATGGCTAGCTGGAAAACGTATCACTTGATCTGAACTGAGTGCAACAAAACTCGGCATGCATCTTGCTACAAGGTTTGAGCCTCGGCCGATCAGGGCTCATGAGCTTCTGAGCCTGGGTCCATTCACGCTAACATGTTCAGCTCTCATAGCCATTTGGGGATTACTTTCCCTTCGACCCGCATGTGGCTCAATTTGGATGCTACAATGGACCCAGTGAAACTCTGACCATTGCACAGAGCGCCTATCAAAGGCAACGACATCTGCGCCGCCATGCCCTCAGAAAGACCAAATCCCCCATCGGCCCAGTTGAAGCCTACGAAGCGGATCTGTTCAACCCAAAGGTGGTGCGACAAGGTGCGGCCGTTCATCAGATCCCGAAGCTATGGCAACGACAAACTGACACAAAGACGAATACAGTCCACAACATCAATCCTGCAGATTACGTCAAGCTGGTAGAAACGCACATCCCAAGAACGAATTCTTTAAGTCTTGCACCTGTGTGATGTCATACACGTAGGCAGTCACCTGCATCACGACAGCATTCCAATCATGTGATGTGAAACTGGCCTGAAAACGTCTGCTGCTCTGCTAGTCTATGCACATTGTTACTCTCAACTTCAAGCTTGCTCGGCAAACCTCGAGCAATAAATATTTGCCGGTTCCCTACCTTGGCCATGGCGAAGGTGGCAAAATGAGCGACCGTTTCGACGCTGCTTTTGATCTTGTAGACACATTGACATGATGTCGTGTGCTTGATATTTGCAAAGCGTCTCTCGTGCACAAATGTCTCTTGAAAGACATGGCAACAGCAAGTGCACCATTTGTCATGCAAGCACAAAATGGGTGGGCTTCTCTTGGAGGCACCCTTTTGGGAGAGTTCCAAAACAAACCAAAGCACCACTTTTCGGGTTCCTTCATTTAGAGACAAACCCACATGCGTCTTGCTGCTGCGTTTTGTGGCGATTCGTGCCAGTTCTCACCAACTGCATAAGTGGAACAGTTGCCTCTTCCAACAAAACACACTAGCAGCCGTGAGTCGATACCCCTCAATCGGCTCGTCGGAAAGCGCGGTCCCCGTCTGCTCGCCCTGACCTGATTTGCAGCCAAGTGATCCGAAGAACTCATCCAATAAGGAAAAAAAGGCTGAACACCGAAACAGGGCTTCGTTGTCAATTTGCGGTTTTCAAGAGGTTCTGTAGCCTCGTGCCGAAACGCACAGCGTTCCAAGGAAAAAACATGTTGAGTGAAAAAACAACAAGTTTCCGACAGGTTCTAAAACACAGAAACAAAACGTTTCCTGTGCTATGGCTTATTTTCACAACTACAATCCCTACATCAAAATAATAGGCGGACAGGCTTGGCATGCTTTCCTTGTTTCTTCGTTGATTGATTTGTTTCGGTCGTTCGTTCTTCCGTCGTTCTTTCTTTGAATCGTTTTGTTTTTCTCGTTCCTTCGTTTTGGTGATTGCGTTCTTTCGTTGTTGCTTTGTTTCTTTGTCTGTTTCTTTGCTTCTTCGCTTCTTGTTTCTTCCTTCCTTTCTTCCTTCCTTCCTTCCTTGCTTCCGTCCCTCCCTCCCTCCTCCCTCCTCCCTCCTCCCTCCTCCCTCCTCCCTCCTCCCTCCTCCCTCCTCCCTCCTCCCTCCTCCCGCCTCCCGCCTCCCGCCTCCCTCCTCCCTCCTCCCTCCTCCCTCCTCCCTCCTCCCTCCTCCCTCCTCCCTCCTCCCTCCTCCCTCCTCCTCCCTCCTCCCTCCTCCCTCCTCCCTCCTCCCCTCCTCCTCCCTCCTCCCTCTCCTCTCCTCCTCCTCCCTCCTCCCTCCTCCCCTCCTCCCTCCCCCTCCTCCTCCTCCTCCCTCCTCCCTCCTCCCTCCTCCCTCCCTCCCTCCTCCCTCCTCCCTCCCTCCCTCCTCCCTCCCTCCCTCCTCCCTCCTCCCTCCTCCCTCCCTCCCTCCTCCCTCCTCCCTCTCCTCCCTCCCCTCCTCCCTCCTCCCTCCTCCCTCCTCCCTCCTCCCTCCTCCCTCCTCCTCCTCCCTCCTCCCTCCTCCTCCTCCCTCCTCCCCTCCTCCCTCCTCTTCCTCCTCCCTCCTCCTCCTCCTCCTCCTCCCTCCTCTCCTCCTCCTCCCTCCTCCCTCCCTCCTCCCTCCTCCCTCCTCCCTCCTCCCTCTTCTCTTTTCTTCTCTTCTCTTCTCTTCTCTTCTCTTCTCTTCTTTCCTTCCTCCCTATTGTTTATTAGTTCATTCTTTGTTCTGTCTTTTTGTTTTGTTCCTTCTTTCTTTACTTATTTTATTTGTTTTGATGTTTTTTTACTGTCTTTCTTTATGTCTGTCTTTCTTTCTTTCTTT